CTTGAATCCACAGAGATCTGCCTGTCTCTGTCTCCCAAGTGCTGGGATTAAAACTGCCCAATCATGTTTATTTGTTTACCATAGATTAGTGCAAAGACTGTAAAAAGGAAGGAAGGAAGGAAACTAAATAATGCTTCTGAGTTTGTAGCCATTTGTTAGTGACAGAAAATGAACAAGGCTGGGCCAGCACGATGGTGTGCATTCAGTCCCTGGGACCTGCATGGTAGAAGGGACAGAACTGACTGCCACATGTTGTTCTCTGACTGCCACATGTTGTCTTCTGGCTGCCACATGTGCCCCCACCCAAATACACAAATGTAATTTTAAAGCAGCGTGCGTGCGTGCGTGCGTGCGTGCGTGCGTGTGTGTGTGTGTGTGTGTGTGTGTGTGTGTGTGTACACAAAGCTAATGGGTATGCCACGCTCCCAGACCTGACTTCACTGACAAACCACCCTGCTGGACCCCAGGGGACCCGTGTTATTTGATGTGTGCTTATTGTGGCCATAGATCAGACACTGGAATTCCACCCTTGGCACCCATTCCCAGAAGTTTATCCTGAAAGGACAATTCAACAGTCAGTTCAGAACATTTTTTTCTGCCAGGCCATCAGGTTCTTTGATATAACTCCAGGCTGGAGGATCACAGATCTAATTAACATTTAAAGAGGGAAAAGGTCCTTCAGTGAAGCTGCACTATCTTTAAAAAGTGGGTGGGCAAGCCCAGTGTCATTGTAGAAGTGGGACGGAATGTCGGCAGAGAAGGAAGCCAGCTTGAGGACAGGAAGCAGATGTGGTCCAAGAGAGAGAGCCCCGGCATGTCCTGTTGTGCCCTGCACTTACTCTTACTCGGCTGGTGCTGGAGATCTGCAATGCTCTGGAGTTCCCGGCTTAACTACAGAGGAAGCATGCTCTTGTAGAGCACTGACTCAAGACGTGGGAAGCCAGAGTTTGACCACCTGAGTTTGATCCCTGGAACCCATACGGAGGAAAGAGAGTAGCAACACTCTGAAAGTTGCCCTCAAGCTTACATATATAGACACACACATCACACACACATCATACACACACACCACACACACCCAACACACACACACATCATACACACCACACACACATCATAAACACCACACACAAACATCATACACACCACACACACACATCATACACACCACACACATCATACACACACCACATATATGTCATACACACCACACATATATCATACATACCACATACACATCATATACACACATACCACACACATCATACATACACACCACACACACCATACATGCACCACACATGCATAAATACGTACACCACACTCACATCACACACACACACCACAATACATAGATACACCACACACATGTATACCATACACATACCACACAGACATCATATACACACATCACACATATACAAACACATACCCCACACACATACACCGTACACACATATACCGTACACACATACATCACACTACACACATACATACAAACACCCCCACATACACACATAGACATACAGATTATACACACACACACACTCTCTCTCTCACACACACACACACACACACACACACTCCTGACCAGGACTCTTCAGATGTGCTGAGGTCCTGAAGGATGGGGAGAGCCTGAAGAACTATTGGGTGGGAGTTCACTGATATATGGCGCTACCCCGGTTTGCATCCGGGAACAGAAAGAGCACAGCGGTGGACAGATGGCAGCATCAGACGCGGTCAGTAGTGCAGCTCACAGTTTGAAAGGCAGGTGGGTTACAGAAGATGTTGGTTAATGGGTGAGGAGAGCTGGGAAGGGGTGTGCAGAACCCTGAGATATTCCAGCATCCCTTCTAAAGGGATCTCAAACCGAAACGTTCAGCAGACAGAACTGAATGGCGTGATGCTCACCAAATCCTCAGCAAGGGCTGAGTGGACACGTGGTCCCTTGCCACAACAGCATCTTTGCCCCCAGGACAGCAGAGACCCACATGATCAGAGGCAGCAGACAGGGTGGCACCTTTGTCCTCCTCTCCGTCCTTCCTCCTGTCTTCAGCAGTGTCACTCACTAGCTCAGGATGTTCCTGACCCTCCAGCCTCCGCTTCAGATTGCTGGGTTTACAGTTGGATACCACCACACCCTCATCATGTGATGCTGAGGGTCCAATTCAGGGCTCTGTGAGCTCTGCCGGTGGAGCTGCGTCCCAGACCCTCGTTCTGCTCTTACCTTCTTTCTTCTTGAGACGACAGAGTTTCATTGCATAGTCTGGGTTGGCTCAAACTCACAGAGTCTCCTGCCTCAGGTTCCCGAGTACCGGGATTACAAGCGAGCATTACCATGTCTAGCTTACAGTTTTGTTTCTTATCAGCTCTTCACGGTAGTATAAAATGTTATGCTGACATGTGGGCTCACTGAATGGACTGAAGCCCATGCTGGCTGTTGTCCCCTGTCCCCAGGTGCTGACGCCTTCCCTCGTGTCTTCAGGAGAAGTGCCCCCTACCCCAGGTTCCCTTCACCTCCTGCCTCTCCCAGGGCTCCCACGGGATGTCTGTCTTGTCTGCCTTGTGACATAGAGCTCTATTAGGTTTTGTCAAGGACGAAGTGATTGACTAGGTGAGAGCTGAGAGCCAGTGAACGAATGAATGAACGACTGAATCAGTGATGGAGTGACTGAGTAAGTGACTAGTGGCCAGATATGCAGTTGAGTAAATGAGTGAGTGTAAGGAGAGTTCTCTGGCCGGCTGGGTCCCACCGCTTCAGCCCCAAATGGACACAGAGACATATATTAATTATGAAGCTGTTGGTCAATGGCTAGCTCTGTCTTAATTATTAACCCATTTCTGTTAATCTAAGTATTTCCACGTGGGGGTGCAGACCTCTTACTCCTTTGTAGTCTACATGGCGACTGCCTCTGCCTCTCCCAGAATTCTCCTCATCTCCTAGTCCTGCCTATATCTCCCTGCCTCTATTAGCCAGAGTGTTTTATTCATCAACCAATAAGAGAAACATACAAAAGGACAACCCCCGCCAAATGAGTGAGTGAATAAGTGAATGAATTAATGAGTGCTTGGATGAATGAATGAATGATGAATGGTTAGTGTGTAAATGAGTGATTGCATGGGTGAGTGATTGTGAGAATGAGTAATCGAGCGAGTGAATAGTGAAGAAATGCACGGTTGGCTGAATGACCCAGTGAATGAATGAATGAATGAGTAACTGCACATCCTTCCCACCTGCTAGAGGGCTGTGTGCCACACGGCATCTCACCCATGTGGCCACTCTGCAGCAAGCCGTTCTCCGGCGTGACTGTGAAAATGTTCAGAGAGCTTTGTTCCTTTCTCCAAGGTCTTGGACGGCAGTCACCTATCCGGGAGAAGTCATTCACCCTTGTTTGGGCGCCGCTCCTGCCTGCCAGGGCCCGGAGTCCTGGCCTCTCTCCTGCCGCTGAGAACTCCTTGCCACAGGAAATTGGGCTTATTTTGAGGACCAAATAGCCTCTAAATATAGCCTCCCTGCACCGATATTTAAAGAGCGGTGCTGTTTGTGTTAGTCTGCACAGGGGAGAAGGAGAAAGACAACTCTCCAACCCCCTGTGAGGAGAGCGGAGTCTACCAGGTTTTATTGGGAGCAGAGCCAGGGCCAGGTGTCAGAGTTTTAATTACTGAAGTCCCAGGTGCTTCTCACAGGCCTGTCGCCAGCCTGGGGCTTGAAGTTTAGATTTCTGTTTCCAGGCAGTCATCTCTTGATCACTCCTACTTGGCTCTGTTTAAAAATACCCTAAGAGCTAGGCATGGGTGTGTGCGCACGCCTGTCATCCCAGAACTCCTGAAGCCTGATGGATGCGGGAGAATCACAAGTTCAAGGCCAGTCTGGGCTATATAGGTTATTCCATCGTAAACAAAACAAAAGTCCCAAAGCAACAGAATTCCCTCCTGTCCTGGAACACGACACAGGCATCCTTCCTGTCACACTCAGGGGAGCTGTACTTTAGGAGATGCCCCCGGCAGCCTCAGGACTCACAGGCACCACATGGGGGAGCCAGCCTTGAACAAGCCCTTTGCCAGCCTCTCTCCCCTCCTCCCCCCTGCAGCCCCTCTCTCCCCTCCTCCCCCTGCAGCCTCTCCCCCCCCCCCACTCTCAAGCACTGGTTGACAAGCAGCAAGTGATGAGGGATGGGGGCCCTGGAATCTTTCTGGGTAAAGCAAGCTGCCAAGAATAGAAAGCAGGGAACAAACAGCTCATGCCTCAGAGAGAGATGTCAGCCCTGAAATTCCACTCATGCATGGTATCCGGGGGCCTCCTCCCAGCCCCCCCTTCTCCTCCAGGCTCCATCTTGGGCTGCTGGGTGGACAGAGTGACCTAAGAGAGCCCGACCCTTTTGGACTAATGTTTTTGTATCTCAAGTGGTTTTTTTCCTAAACTAAAAACAGGACTATTGGGGTGTGGGTTACACGTCTTTGGGGCTGGATTTATGTCTCTTTGGGGGAATGAAAACAAGTGCTTCTTCTGTGCTCGGTGCTCCTGGCGTGGTGAGCATCCTCGCCTTCGTGTTTGTGGCTTATACTTCACCGTCTTTTCCTCCTTAGCAATCAAGAGACAGACATGCGTCACTCTTGTCACTGCTATGGCACAATGCCTGCAAAAGCGTCTCCTTAAGGAAGGGGTTTAAAACAAGCTATTTAAAATTAAAATACAAAAATTAAAAAAAAGAAAGGAAGGAAGGGTTTGCCAGATTCGGTGGCGCACACCTTTAATCCCAGCACTCAGGAGACAGAGGCAGGCGGATCTCTGTGAATTCCAGGCCAGCCTGGTCTGCACAGTGAGTTTCAGCAATCCAGGGTTACATAATAGAGAGACCCTGTTTTTAAAAAAAGAGCTAGAGAGGGAGGGAGGGAGGGAGGGAGGGAGGGAGGGTCTGTTCTGGCTCACAGTTTGAGGGTACAGTCCATCACGGTGGGGACAGCGTGGTGGCAGGAGCAGGAGGCGGCTGGTCACGTGGCCTCCACAGTCAGGAAGCAGAGAGAGACGGATGCTGGTGCCCAGCTCACTTCCTCCTTTTAATTCAGTCCAGGACCCCAGCCTAAGCCAAGTGGATGGTGCTGTCCACATTTAGGTGTATCTTCTCACTTCACTTAACCCTAAAGACTTCCTCACAAATGTGCTGAGAGGTTTGTTTCTTAGATAATTCTAGAGCTTATCAAGTTGACCAGATACACCATCACAGCCTGCAAACAGGAACTGTTTTTTATCTTCTGTATTCTTTTAGAGGCAAGTTCTCATAGTCTTAACATACATTGGCCTGAGACTCATTGTTGTCACCCAGGCTACCTCACATTCACAGTGATCCTCCTGCCTCAGCCTCCTGAGTACTAGGATTATAAGCATGCTTGGCTCCAAAATAATTAATGATGATAGTTGATGTTTTTAAGAAAACTATTCAAGAAAACACCCAGACATCATAACAACAGCAAAAACCCATGCTGAGGTGGCAAGATGGCATAGTAGAGCCCCTGCCTAGAATCCCCCAGTGAGGGGCTGGGGTGTGGCTCAGTGGTAGAGCACCTGCCTAGAATCCCCAGTGAGGGGCTGGGGTGTGGCTCAGTGGTAGAGCACCTGCCTAGAATCCCCCAGTGAGGAGCTGGGGTGTGACTCAACAGCACAGCACTTGCCCAGCACAGATGATGCCCTTGGTTTCATCCCCAGCACTGCAAACCAATCTGAAATGTCAGTGTTCTTCCCTGGGACAGGCAGCAATTGTCTTTCTTTAGGGCTGGAGTGTTCATATCCCCAGTGAGAGATTCTCGGGTTCTCTTTGCCAGGTGTAGTCCCAGGAGTTCTCGCTGGTTTTGCTGTTGTCTCTCCTCTATGACAGTGTTCTTGGTGCCTGAATACTCATCTCCATGTCAGTCAGCCAGCACATAACGGTTTTTTTCCAGGGCTTGCTGTACCAGGTGTGCAATGAGAGGTTCCTCTCACGGAAGCTCTGTCTGGTCCCTTGAGGGAGGGGACCTGTCATCTTTTCATCGTCTTTGTTTATTCTACTGAGGTCCTCTGGGGTTGGAATGAGTGAGTTCTTTGGAATGTCAGCGTGCCCTCCCCAGCGTTCACCAGTTAGCCAGCTATGCCTGCAGAGCCCGGCGCCAGGAGTCAAGGATGAATCAGACTTGATTGTGGAGTTCCAGTTGCTTCCAGAACTCAGAGAGAAGGTGGGATTAATCACCTCCAGCGACTTGTGAGCTACTTAGGGTTGTAGAGTGTCTTTCAGTTAGAGAAGCCAGAGGGAGCCAGTAGCAGGGGCAGGCGGGGTTGGAGGGGGGCTTTGGAGGACCAGGATGGAGCCAAGGGGAAGCTAGGGGAAACAGCCCATGCCACCGCAAAAGTCCCAGACTGGCGTCCCCAAGGCTGGAATCTTTTGTGGGTTTGTTTTGTTTGGCCCACGCAGTGTTTTGATTTTGTTTTAAATTTGTTTTTAAATTAGAACTTACTTACATGTCTTTATATGGAGAACTCAGCTCTGTCCCTCACCCTAGTCCTCACCCGCCCATCTGACCCTGACCTTTTGTGCATTGAATCACGGAGTCCAGTGAAACCCGGAGACATTGGGAAAAGTCTGAGACTTGACAAGCAAGGTCAAGGTAAGGGTTACAAGTGATGGGGACTAGGTGTGTAAGGTCAGTAGAATACAGATAAAGATGAAGATGCAGATATGGATGAAGGCATCAGCCGTCTTGAAAGTGTACCAGAGTGGGCAGAGCTCGGTGTGGTGCTACACAACTGTGATCCCAGAACTCAAGAGCCTAGCAGCCTGAGTTCTCTCTTCAGCCCCACAGAATGGAGGAAAAGAACCAACTACACACACACACACACACACACACACACACACACACACGGGTCTCATGTAGCTCAGCTTAGCCTTGAACTTGTTATGTAGCTGAAGCTAACTTGGACCTCCTGATTGCCGGCTCCAACCCCCAGAACACATTTATGGCATGAAAATAAACAAATCGATGGAACTTGATCTCTCTCTCTCTCTCTCTCTCTCTCTCTCTCTCTCTCTCTCTCTCTGTCTCTCTGTCTCTCTGTCTCTGTCTCTCTCTCTCTCTCTCACACACACACACACACACACAGAGCTGAGTCCATATTTGTGGCTTGTGTGTAAATGGTTTCAAGACTGACCTCCTGCACTGGACAACTAATAAGGGGCTCATACCTGGGAGAGACTAATTCTTCTCCCAGTAGCCCTTAGTTGCCTGTAGTTCTTGAGGTGTGTGTGTCTGTGTGTGTGTGTGTGTTTGTGTATGTGAGAGAGAGAGAGACAAGAGAGAGAGAGAGAGATTGTGCAGCCCAGGCTGGCCTGGAACTCAGTCTTCCTGCTTCATCTTCCCAGAGTGCTGGAGGGACCATATTTCCACATTTGTTTTTTTGGAGGTCCTGGGGATTGGACTTGGGGCTTCTCAAATGCTGAGCAAGCGCTGTACCACTGGGCTACATCCCCAGCCCTGGCATCTATGTCCCGTCTTTTGATGTAATAGGGTTTCGGGAAGCTGAAGTGCACTGGCCATACACACACCTCCTCCATGACTCATCTTACATATATTAACAAAGAGATGAGAAAGGGGCCGGCGAGAGGGCTCAGCAGGAAAAGGGGCTTGCTGCATAAGCCTGGCGACCTAAGTTCTATCCCTGGAGCCTACACGGTGGAAGGACTGACCCCACAGAGCGGTCCTGTGACCTCCGCATGAGTACGGTAGCATGCATGCATGCCCGCGCCACGGATTGATAAGTAAATTAAAGTAAATAAATAAATTCGAATGATAAAGACCTGCAATGAGAATGAAGAAAAGGGGTCTTCACCCGTAAGATACATCAACAGGTTCCGGAAAGACGTGAGTAGATGCTGAACACAGAGTGGGGGCCCAAGGAGGTGCATATTGGGAGCGCATTGCATCGGAAGGGACGCAGGGCTGGAGTCATGTGAGAGCACAAACTGATCCTTCCTGGTGGGAGCACATACATCTAATCCCTGCACTGAGGAGGCTGGGGCTGGAGGGTTGCAAGTTCCAGGCCAGCCTGCTCTACATAGTGAGATTCTTGTCCCAAAACAGTGAGCTCAGGGAGTGGCTGAATTAGAGGGCCCGAGTTTGATTCCCAGAGCCCACGCTGAAACAGACAACACCTGGGCATGGTGGCCCACACCTTTAATCCTCGAACTTAGGAGGCGTAGAGGCTGCCTGTGTGAGGCTGAACCTTGGTCCACATAGAAAGTTCCTAGGCCAGCTAGGACTACATAGTGAGACCTCCCATCTCAGAATAAAATAAAAATCAAAACAAAACAGGCGTGGTGGCTCAAACGCATAATCCCAGCACTGGGGAGGCAGACACAGGTGGATTCCCGGAGTCAGCCAGCCTAAGAGAGTCAGCAAATCACAGGTCCCAGTAAGAGACCCTGTTCCAAAAAGCAAGGTAGATGTCACCTAAGGAATGACAGCTATGGCTGGCCTCTGGTACACACACACACACACACACACACACACACACACACACACGCTTGCACTCACATAAACATGAACTCTGGTCCTCTGCGAGAGCAGCATGCTGTCTCAACTGTCTCTCCACCTCTGTTTCCCCAGCACTTTGCTGATGGCAGCACTCTATCGGGGAGTTCAGGGGAAAACTAGAGAAACCGAAATAGTATCCCCAGAGCTCGAGCACATCCGAAAATGAACCAGTGAGGGCCGTGGAAAGAATTCAGAGTCTCATCAAGCTGCCAGGACGCTAAGGGGGGTAGGAGGAGCTCTTAGCTTGTCTCCCGAAAACGACTAGAGAAGAGAATGGGAAGTGGGGGCACGTGCCTGTCATCCCAACACTCGGGGAGAGGAAGCAGAAGGGTCGGGAGTTCAAGGTCATCCTTGGTGCTCCAGTCTGAGGCTGCGTGAGTCTCTGAGGACCAGGAGATGGCTCTGCAGATAGAGCAGACAGAGCCACCCAAGCCTGGTGACCTGGGACTGGGGTGGAAGGCTGGGTTCAGAGACTCTGGGAAGAAATCATCTCCCTGTGGCTGGAGAGGCGGCTCAGTGGCTAAGAGCACTGACTGCTGTCCACTGACGTCTGAGGTTAGGTTCCCAACACCCACACGGCAGCTCACAACAGCCTGTATTAACTCCAGTACGGAGCAGACCTCCTGACCGTCACCCTTCTCCGTAACAATGATGGCCCCTGTGTCAGCACACACCTGGGACTTTAAGCTCCCTAGAGCCCATTTCCTCCAAACTGAACACTTTGTGTTTCTTCCTTCCCTGCCTGCTCATTGCCATTGTAGACTCGAACAAGAATCTTTAATAAGCAGGGCAGTGGTGGTGCACACCTTTAATCCCAGCACTCTGGAGGCAGAGGCAGGCGGATCTCTGTGAGTTTGAGGCTAGCCTGGTCTACAGAGTGAGTTGTGGAACAGCCAGGGCAACACAGAGAATCCCTGTCTCAGAAAACAAAACAAGAATCATTAGTGCTACTCACACCACAGACTCGATGTCACAGTGTCTTGAAATTTTCTCTGCCAAAGAAATTAGTCCATTACTGTTTTTGAGACAGCATCTCACTGTATAGCCCTGGCTGGCCTTGAACTCACTGGAGAGCCACCTGCTTCTGCTTTTCAAGTATTGGCATTAAAGCCATGTGCCAACTAGTTCATTGCTTTGACGTTTAGCCTCAGGCAAGCGCTTAGGACCCAGGCAGAGGCAGCCAGAGTCTGTTAGTGTCAGAGGAATGGGCTCTGGCCTGGTTGCCAGTGTTGCTCCCCTGCACGGCCTCTTGAGCGGTTTCTCCACAGTCCACATGGCTGTCATCCCCACTGTCTTCCAAGTCCCTGCCAGAATGGCCCATTGGGCTCTGCTGACCGCAGGCAACCACTTCTTTTTCTTGCAGATTTCCAAAATCTTCTCCATCCCTTTAGAAACAGCAACAACAACACGGCCCTGTTCTCCACAGCAGCACCCGTTCTCCTACCAACTTCTGTCTTGGTTTGCTCTCCCTTGATGTAATAAAGCCTTGGCCAGAAACAGCTCAGGGGAAGAAGGAAGTTTTTGTTTTTGCTTTTCTTACAGGTCACAGTTCTCCACTGAGGAATCTAAGACAGGAACTCAAGGCAAGAACTTCGAGGCAGGCGCTGAGGCAGAGGCCCTCAGGGAAGGTGCTTTCTCAGCCACCTTTCTTTCTCTCTCCTTCCTCCTCTTCTTCTCCTCCTCTTCTTCTTCGTAAGACTCCTTCTTATTTTCCAGGCTCTCCACACACCTTTAAAATCTCTGGGCATCAGGGTGCAGCCTTTAATTCCAGCACTCGGAAGGCATAGGCAGGTGGATCTCTGTGACTTTGAGGCCAGCCTGGTCTACAGAGTGAGTTACAAGACGGCCAGGGCTTCACAGAGAAACCCCGTCTTGAAAAAAAAAACAACCAGACTAAAAAGCTGATCATTAATCATTTTGCAAGGGCGCCATTTAGTGACATTTAGTAATCTAAGCCAGCCAGGCCTGGAAGTCACCGTGTACTCAAAGGTGGCCTCAGACTCACAGCCACTCTCCGTTTTTAGCCTTCCAGTGCTGGAGTGTCAGGTCAGGAGCTGTCACACACACCTGACTTCAAGTGTGTGTTTCGGTAGCAACCCTCAGCTTTATTCTTGTGGTTTCTTTGTAGACTCACAGAGGTAGTCACTGACATGGAAACTGACTGCCCCAGAAGCCAAGACCGTCCAAAATTGCATTTGTGTTATGTATGCCTATATAGGTAGATATACACGGCAATTTCTATGTGTGCATAAATACACGTGTGATTGTGTGTGTGTGTGTGTGTGTGTGTGTGTGTGTGTGTGTGTGTGTGTGCAGTATCGATACTACTTTTACAGCGAGGTACATGTGTGACGCTGTCTGCATCTTCACTCTTTAGGAATTTGTCTTTCAGGTCCATTTCCCCATCATCCTGCTGAAGTCATCCGCAGGCCATGTACAAGGAACGGGGGTGGGGCGGGGAGATGGGGGGTGGGGGGCAGTTATGGTTACATGGGGAATTAAGCCAGGGGACCTCAGGCCCAAGGGGCCTTGAAGAGAGCCCAGTGGGCTGGTTGGCAGGCAGCACCTGTGCTTGTGACCTGAGTCAGCTGCTGTGGGGCCGCTCTGAGGGCACTGTGTTCCAGTCCCAGGACACGCCTGTGATCTGGGGGAGATGGCTGTTGAGACGGGAGCTGGAGGCGGGCCGCATGGTGATGAATTCTTGTCCACTCGAGGGCTTGATGCAGCTGTCTCCGGGTGAGGACTGAGGCCTCTGAGGAGGCAGCTGTTGTTGGGGAACAAGGCCAAACCTAGGACAGCAGGGTCGATGTCTGTTTGCATGAAGCCCGACAGGTGGGGGCTGGGTTCTGGGTATCCTCACCCAGGGGGCATCTGCAAGCTGGTCTGTCCTACATTTGGCTGTCTTTGTCACCATCCAGGGACTCAACCCTGCAGAGGCCGAACCTGGGGCCCTTCCAGTTCTCAGGCCACAGATGCAGAACCCCAGGTGGAGTGTGTGCTTGTCCTGGGTACAGATGCAGAACCCCAGGTAGAGTGTGCTTGCCCTGGGTACTTTCTGGGAACCAAGAGCTCTCTGACTGTCCAAGACAAGCAGGGTCTCCGTTTCTCTCTACAGTGAGCTTCGCTTTGCCTGCATGGCTCCAGAGAGGCAGCTTCCTTTCCTAGGTTGTGCAAGCCACGGGGCACTTGTGTTGTGGGTTCAGAAACTGAGAGCAAGCCCCGTCATTGCTCACTGTTTAGTGGAGAGGGATTCAGGAACAATTAGAGTGGCCCTGTGGAAGTGTGGAGGGGACACTATGGGACCTTGACAGTGTGTGTGTGTGTGTGTGTGTGTGTGTGTGTGTGTGTGTGTGTGTTTGTCTGTCTCAGTGTGTGTCTGTGTGTGTGTGTGGCTTGACAGTGTGTGTGTATGTCTGTGTCTCTGTGTATATGTCTTTGTGTGTGTCTGTGTCTATGTGTCTTGTGTCCAGGATATGAGGACTCCTTCTCACTGAGGGAAATAAACCCAGGTATCAGCATTTTCACAGCCCAGTGCAAAGACAGCCAACTTTGCCTGGCAGACATCCCCTGCAGAGGCTCAGAGGCAGAAGCAGAGCCCTGTGCTGGGCACGGTGAGAGCTAAGGAATCGAGCATGGGGAGGAGAGGGAGCCGTAGGAAAATGGGCTCCAAAGGAGACAGGCAGGGCCAGACTGCATGCACCCAGGGATGATTGACTGACTGACTGACTGACTGACTGACTGACTGACTGACTGACTGGGTCTCACTATGTAGGCTTGGCCTAGCACTCTGTGTAGACCAGGCTGCCTCAAAGTCACAGAGATCCACCTGCCTATGCCTTCCAAGTGCTGGGATTAAAGGCTGCACCCTAATATCCAGAGATTTTAAAGGTGTGTGGAGAGCCTGGAAAGATGAGCTTTGTGTTTAGGAAAACTAGACCAGCCTCCCGCCCAGCAGGATAAAGAAGAGGGGGCTGGAGAGACGTCTCAGTGGTTAAGAGTGCTTGCTACAGCTACAGAGGACCCTTGTTGGCTTCCTGTGCCCACCTAACAACTCAAACTGTAACTCCAGTTTGAAAGGATCCTATGCCCTCTTCTGGCTTCGTAAGGTACTGCATGCATGTGGTGCAGACAGATATACATAAACATAAATAAACATACGATATGCTTTTAAAAGGAAAAGAGATGTGGGCAAGAGAGTTCAAAGAAATCCATTTGGATATTATTACTATTATTATGATGAGTAACACACTCAGGGTCATGGTCACAGCCAGATGCGGTGGCACACACCTGTAATCCCAGCACTTGGGGTCCTGTGGTAGGAGGATCATGAGTAGGGCTACAAAAGGACACAACAACAAAAATATGATGTGATGTAACATCAAGGAGTCAGTGGGGGGGGCAGATAGCTCAGATCTATCAAATGAGGCAGGATGTTAAATTCGGTTTGTTTTTAGATTTTGTTTTATTTTAAATTATGTGTCTGTGTTTCTCTGTGTATGTGCACATGAGTGCCAGTATCCAGGGAGACCAGAAGAGGGAGTTGGATCCCTGGAGCTGGAGTAACCAACAGTTGTGAGCTACCTGATAAGGGTGTAGGGACCAAACTAGTGTTCTCTGCCAAAGCAATACCACTCTTAACCCCTGAGCTATCTCTACAGTCCCAGGGTATTAAGAGTTGATGGTAATACTTTGATTAGAATATGGCTAGTTCTGTTGGTAGAGTATCTGGCTAGCGTGTGTAAAGCCCAGGATTTTCTTCCCAGTACCACATAACCAGGTGTGGTCACAAGCCTGTGACTCCAGCACTCAGGAGGAGGTAGGATCACAAGTTCAAGGTCATCCATGACTACTTGATACTGCTCCCCTTGTTTTGTTTTTGTTTTGAAACAGTGTTTCTTTGTGTGAGAACCATGTCTAGCAGGGGTAAGCTCTGACACATGCCAGGTGCACATATCTTTGATTCTGGCAGAAGCAGGTGGATCTTTTGCGTTTGAGGCCCTTCTGGTTTACATTAGCAAGCTGCAGGAAAGCCAGAGTTACACAGCAAGACCCTGTCTCAAAAAAAAAAACAAAAAACAAGCCGGGCCTTGGTGGCGCACGCCTTTAATCCCAGCACTCGGGAGGCAGAGGCAGGCGGATCTCTGTGAGTTCGAGGCCAGCCTGGTCTACAGAGCGAGTGCCAGGACAGCCTCCAAAACTACACAGAGAAACCCTGTCTCGAAAAAACCAAAAAAAACCAAAAAACAAAAAACAAAAAAAAAAAACAAAAAACAAACTCTGAGACATGTCTTGGAATTCAAAGGGAAAGGGATATGTGTGTGCATGTGCACACTCTAGGCACATGTAATTCTGGTGTGCAATCATGGGAGTGTGTCTTTCTGGTGTGTGTGTGTGTGTGTGTGTGTGTGTGTGTGTGTGTGTGTGTGTGTGTGTGTGCTTGCCCAGGAAAGTCTGAGAAGGTCTGAAGTTTCGGCTGAGACTCTGCAAACAGCACAGGGCCAGCAGCATACTGAAGGTTTCTGCCCACCACACTTGCAGAGCTCCTCTGCAAAGAGTAGGGTGTTTCTAGTTCTAGACGATTTGGGAAATCCCAGTCTAACCATTAGCTGATGGGTAGGTTAATGGAGCAAAGACTTAAGTAGCTACACATGCCCTGGAGCCCAGGTTTTGCCTCATTACTGGGAAAGCCATTAAGTGAATAGCAGCTGAAGTGTGAAGAACCTCCCAGAGGCAGAGCTTGGTTTTCAACAGAAAGCATGAGCTGTGCAGAGAAGTTGAGTTCCAGGACAGCCTGGTCTACAGAGTGAGTTCCAGGACAGCCTGGTCTACAGAGTGAGTTCCAGAACAGCCAGGGCTACATGGAGAAACACTGTCTCGAAAAACCAAAAAAAAAAAAAAAAAAAAAGTGGAGAGTGTGCCTGCCACTCTCTGACCCCAGATTGGCTATTTGAAATACTTTAAATAGCCAATTTGGGATTTGGAATCTTATGAAATCAAAGTGACTGAATAGTCTAGAATTGGCATTGTATTTTGCAACCATAATTTAAATTGTGACTTGGGTCAATGCCAAGACATTTACCAGGTGTAAGACAGGCTCAGTGCAGTCTAGATGAATTTTACAGTTTTGCATTTGTGATCTTACTGGTTTGACAATTTTGCAATGTGAATTTTGTTGCTTCCTTTCCTTAAAAAAGCATATATGTGTATACATACATACACACACATATATATAAATAAATATACATATATATATATATACTTTTTTTTTGGTTTTTCGAGATAGGGTTTCCCTGTATTTTGGAGGCTGTCCTGGAACTCGCTCTGTAGACCAGGCTGGCCTCAAACTCACAGACATCTGCCTGCCTCTGCTTCCCGAGTGCTGGGATTAAAGGCTTGTGCCCCCAACGCTCAGCTATATATATATTTTTATGTATATATATATTTATATATAATGTATACATATGTACGTTACATATATACCACAGTGCTTATGTAGAGGTCAGAGGACAACTTGCAGGAATCTCTGTCCACCATGTGGGTGCGGGAGATTGAACCCAGGTCCTCAGGCTTGGCAGCAAGCACCCTTCCTTGCTGAGCCATCTGGATGGCCCGAATTGTATTGTTTTTCTACTGGGGTTTATGCAGGGAGCTGGAGGGGTTTAAACTGGACCGAACCCAGGTCTTGGAGATCTCATGTTCCTCCCATCACTATCTGTGAATTGAGTGAAAAACTTTGGATTTGTCCCAGCCCTCGGAGTAGGTTGGCAAGGCATCATTGTTTCCTGAAAGTCTATTTTATAGCCTGCCTTTGATACTTGCCCATTCCTGTGCCTACTTAAATAACATTCCCCATTAATCATATTAATTTTAGAAAAGCTATTTTAAAAACAGTTTCAAAACTTGCCACAGTTACCAGTTTAAAGCCTTTCTTTCCAGTGTCTGCCTATAAATACCCTGCCTATAAATAGCTACGCACTTATGCATATGCACAGACGCATATATTTATACCATTTTATGAGATTGTCCCCACACTCTATAAATGGGTTCCTATTCTGCCTCCTCACCTCTTGCAAGGTTTTGTGCTGCTGGGAATAGCATAATGGTGAAGGTTAATTGGGCCTTGAGGCCAGAGTGCAGCGCCCTGTTCCCCCTGTGCCTCTGGGAATTAGTTAACCCTTTTATGGCTTTTTTTCCTGACCCTAACAAACCTCTGCTGGCCTTTTTTTTTTTCTTTCCCCTGCCCATTTTCCCCATCGCTATATGTGTGCGTGGGGTGGGGGTACATCTGTACCACAGCTTGGGTGTAGAGGTCAGAGGACAACTTAGAGAGTGTTGGGTCTCTCCTTCCATCGTTTGTGGGTTCCAGGCATAAAACGCGGGCCCCCAGACTTAGAGGGCAAACACTCTTGCCCTCTGAGCCATCTCACTGCCCCT